TCCTTAGCACTGGGATTAAAGGCGTGCACCACCCTGCCTGGTGGCTACCCAGCTTTCTTAATATGGGTTCTGGAGATTGAACTCAGGTCCTCATGTGTGCACAGAACTTGCTGAAGTGAACTATCTCCTTAGCCCCATTTCTTCCCCTTGTAAGAGGATGAATACGATTCAAGCTGCAGGCTCGGTCTAGGAGGTCAGAGTTAGAAGGGAAGCCAAGATATTTGGACCTCTCATTTTGCAGATAACCAAACTGAGGCCAGAGAACAGAAAGGAAGGGCCCAACGTCTGGAGCCCCGGGTGTCGTGAAACCTGGGCATGGAAATTCCTCACTATTTTAGCAGATCGGATGGTGAGAGCAGGCGAGATCACCACTCTATCAGACTAATCTATCTCCTTCAGCCCAGAACGCTCACCTGGCACCAGCCACCACAGCCCGCCCTTCAAAGCACACACATCACTCATTTTATAGCCAGAGGCTGGGTATGTTTTGAGATGTGACAAAGCTGGAATCAGGGCAGGGGTTATGTCGAGGGCTGGAAGCTAGGGAGGGCTGGGGAGGAGGTAGAAGGGAGGCAGGGGTGAATGTGATAGGTGGCTGTGGTTCTCTTGCCACTCAGCCACGAGCAGGAGGGATAACAGAAGGGACTGCCCGGGACCCTCGATGGCTAGAGAGAGGCCCAGCTGAATGACAGTCCAACTCCACCCCTCACCCCTCCTTCCTTAGTCTCTGAAGCTGGAACGATGGCTTGGTCAGGTCACGGTGGCTGGTGCTGCTGGCCACTGCTTGGCAGAGGGCCACCAAGACCAGTAGCTCTAGTCTTCTCCACCACAGAGAGCTAGTAAAGCCTTCAGGAAGTCTCCAGAGGTGTCACCCTGACAGGACAGAGAGAAAGCAGAGTGAGAAAGGAAGAATTCTGGTCCAAATCCCCCAGCCTCCTAGTGGCCATCAGTCTCGACATGACCCTCAGCATCTCGGTCAGCATCTCGGTCACCAACCCAGTTGCTGTACCAAGGCCAGCGAGACCTCTCCAGACACACACCCGGTACCTCCAGGAATCGGCCCTTTAGAACCTGACCCAGCAAAGCTGCAAGGCACAGTGCCTCCTCTCCTTTTGGCAGCAGCTTGGATCCCATCTGCCAGCCCAGCTCCTGTCCGACCAGCCCTGCAGCTTCCCACTTGAAGGGCCTGAGGCCTCCATCTTGCCTCAGGAAGCCAGGCACATTCCTCAGCCCTTGGTACCCACTGTCTATAGCCATCATCTGAGAGAGCCACCCTGCACCAAGGCCCAGGCCAGCAACCAAGCTGGTAAACACCACTTACTCTGATACACCACAAGAGTCTGTCTGTAGTCAGGCCAGGAAGCCAGACCCTCCCGAGTGGCACAGATCCCCATTTAGAAGGGGCTTCTATTACTTAGAATGTTTTTGGTTTTGGAGACAAGGTCTCATGTAGCCCAGGCTGGCCTCCAACTCACTATACAGTCAAGAATGACTTTGATCTATCGATACTTCCAGATTAAGGATACACGGCTACTTGGAAAATTCAGAGCTGGGAATATAGCTCATTGGTAGTGCACTCGCTTAGGATGCGTGAAGGCCTAGCTTCAATGCAGAGCACTACATCAAATAAATCAAAACTCTAAAAGAGGGGCTAGGAGTGTGTCTCGGTTAGCAGACTGCTTGTCTACCAAGTATGAAGCCCTGGGTTTGATCTCTAGCACTGTATGAACCAGGTGTGGTAGCACACACCTGTAATCCCAGCAAATAGGAGGTGGAGGCAGGAGGATGGCAAGTTCAACATCAGCTTGGGCTACAAAGTGAATTTAAGGCCAGCCTGGGCAGTATAGTGACCCTGTCTCAAAATAATTTTTTTTAAAGAAGGGCTGGTGTTATAGCTCAGTGGTCCAGTGTATACTTAGCATGTGTTTCAGTCCCCACTACCAGTAAACAGAAAATAAATATTGAGTTGTGTTCTTAAAAAAGATCAGTTTTGTGGTATGTAAGTTAAACTTTAGCATGATTGACACCACAATTAGTGCTGATAATCTGCTACCACCTGACCAATTTGTAAACTATACTTTAACAAAATTACAAGAACTAAAACACCAGGGGCCAGAGAGATGGCTCAGCGGTTAAAGCACTTGATGCTCTTGCAGAGGACCCAGGTTCGGTTCTCAGCACCCACACGGCAGCTCACAACTCGGCAGCTCCAGGGCCAGGGGATCTGTTACCTTCTTCTGAACTCTATAGGGCACCAGACTTACGTGCAGGCAAACACACATACGCATAAAATAAAAGAAATATTTTCAGAGCAAAAACAACGAGGCGGGTCTGCCTTTAGCAGTTCCCCGAATTACACGGTAATCCAAGAGCCTGAGGAGAAGCCCTTCCCTCACCTCAATGGTCTGGTGTAGAGACTTGTCATATTTCTCAATGAATTCCCTCCGAATGTTGAGCAGATCTATCTCACTCCGGGAGACCATCACCCTGGTGAGGGTCTTCTCATCCGTGCCAGCACCCTGGTGGAGTCAAGAAAGAGAGATACATGGGGCACGAGAGAGAGGCAGAGCTGGGTCAGCAGATGTCTGCCTGCCTGTCGCTTCTGCCCTCCCAAACCAGGCGGGTTATTCCATCACCATCTTCCACAGACAGACAGTACCAATCAAACTCCCTCGTGTCTTCCACAGACAGTACCAATCAAACTCCCAGTGTCTTCCACAGACAGAAAGTACCAATCAAACTTCCTTATGTGGAGGAATGGCCAGACAGAGGGCCTGTGTGGGCTGAGCAGGCCCTTCTAAAATTCACATCCTCCTGGAACCTCAGCATGTAACCTTGGGAACAGAGTCTTTGTGTTTTGTGGTTTGGAGGATGCATCCTTCCCCAAATTCATGCACCGAAGGCTTGGTCCCCAGTGCAGTGTTCAGAGCTAGAGCTTTGGGGAAGTGGATCTTCGGGTTTCCGACTTCCTCGATAGGTCAGTGCACTGATGTGTATACAATCTGGTGGCATTGCTGGGAAGCGGGGAAGGTGAAATCAGTCCTGGGGGTGTTAGGGGATGGACTTTGTCCCTGGTCCCTTCCTCCCTCTCTGCTCCAGGCTACCAGGAAGTGAGCAGCTCTGCTCTCCCGTGTGCTCCCTGCCATGACATTCTACATCACCACAGGCTCAGAAGCAATGGACCAGAAGACCATGGGCTGAAGCCTCTGAAGTTCTGAGCCCAAATCCATTTTTTTTCATCCTTTAATTTGATTTTCCTCCCAGATACTGCACCACCGAGATGGAAAGCTAAGTAACATACCATTGTCATGAGTTAAAATGAAGTCATGTTGGATTAGGGCCCTAAACCCACGGGGTGGCAGCTTAGGGGAGCAGGGACACAGACATACACACGAAGATGAAGGCAGAGGCTGGAGGGATACAGCCAAACCCAAGGCACACAACACAGGGGCTCCTGGCAGCCCCCAGGGGACAGGGGAGGGATGGGAGAGGAAGGAACAGACCTTGCCGATGCCTTGATTTTAGAACCAGAGATTATGTTCTTGTCATTCAGTTTATGGAAATTCACTACAAAAGTCTTGGAAACTAACATAGGATCTGGAATATGTGAGCACCAGGGCTCCCTCTCATCTCCTCCACCTCTGCCACTCATCGGGTGTATAGACGTGGGCCAAGTTTAACTGCCCTGTACTGTCTTTGTTGTTCTAGGAAATAAGGGGGTTACCATGGGTCCATAGCATTGCCATGGGGGTCAGCTGTGGTCAGAAGTAGACACAAGGCCCAGGCTTTGACACAGAGTGAGTTCTCAAGCAGTTGGGCTGGATCATTCTTTGATATGGGGATCCAGCTTGTGTACAACAGGGTATATTAACGTCCCTGGTCACTCCCCCCAGATGCCAACAGCAATATTCTTTTAGATTTTGGCAGCCAGAAATTTATCTGGATATTAAAAATATCCCTGGGTGGAGGGGTACAAAAATCACCCCGATTGAGAAAGACTATCCTTGGGCCAAAGGCAGATGCTGGTAAATAGCAAAGTGGGGGAAACAGCAGCCTGAAGTCCTCATCTGGGGGATGGTGCACATCTGTGCCTGTTGGTTTGGGAAAGACAGTGCTCATGAACAGGTCAGATGCCATACCTTCATGGACTTGTACAGTTTGTCAGCAAAGAAGAGAGGCTTGTTCTTGACACTCTGAACTGTAGGGAAGAGGAGAGAGAAGCAGGGAATCTGGTCAGAGGCTGTGTGCCGCTCAGACCCTGGGCAGGGCTCTTCTCTATCTACTGCAACTAATGGACTGGGTCTGCAGGTCACTGCTAACCTGCCTGGCTCAGAGCTGTCACTTTAATCCATGGTGCTACTCCCTTTTCTCTTCCCTATGTCCACCTCCCACTCTGTCATGTGCTGCGTCTTTCCTACAGTGAAGATGTTTGAAGCTGACTGAGGTCAGCAGCAGAATGCATAAATGGGATTTAAGCCCTAGGGGATGCTGGATGCAGGGCCACCAATTGAGTGCATTAAAAGCATGTGAGAAGATGGCTAAAAACTGAGTTTCTGGGTCTGGAGAGATAGCTCAAGGGTTAAGAGCACTTATTGCTCTTCCAGAGGACCCAAGTTTTGTTCCCAAATCTTCCTTTGGGCCACTTACTACTTACTGCCTATTAACTCCAATTCTAGGGGACATGACACCTTCTTCTGGATTTCACAGGCTACCACACAAATGTGGCATACACACACACACACACACACACACACACACACACACACACCAACAAACAAAAAAAAACACCCCAAAAAACCAAAACCTAAAAACAACACGAGTTTTAGACTCCACTCTAGAGATATTCTGAGTGGGAGTGGGATGTGTGTGTTGGGGGCTAACAACTGTGTGTCACTTGAGGACTGGGTAGAAGGCCAGTTTTCATGTCCTGTCACAGAGTGCAGAAGCTGAGACAGGCTCTGTGTTCTCCCAGGGACACACAGCAATGACGTGGCAGTTCCTACTTAGCTCCCCAGCTTCCAATCTCTATGCTGTCCTTTCTCTCTGGTGTTGCTGTAGGTGGTAAAGAGCCGTTGTAAGCAACACCTCCATTTATCTAATCTAAAACACTTTTCCTCCACATTTTAGAATTCCTGAAATTCAAGACGCATTTTGCAGTTGATAGAGAGACTCTGAAAGCCTTCTATCGCCACCTGCTGGTACAATAAGGTAAGTACAGGATGCAATATTATGCTTAGCTCTGTATGGATCCATATTTACACAGTGAGAAATGAGACCCAAAAGGCAAAGACACTTTTTCAAAGTCAACGTCTTTGGTCTGTGAGGTGGCTCAGCAGGCTAATGGACTTGAAACCAAGCCTAAGGACTGGAGTTCAATCCCCAGCACCCACACAGTGGAGAGAACCAACTCTATAAAGTTGGTTCCTTTGACCCCCACACACATTCTCTGGTACGCACAGACCTGTACATGCATTTATGTGTACACACACAAAACAAATAATAAAATGTAACAAGAAATTAAAAACCAAAAAGCCACTGGGCAGCGGTGGCGCATACCTTTGATCCCAGCACTCAGGAGGCAGAGGCAGGTGGATCTCTGTGAGTTCCAGGCCAGCCTGGTCTACAGAGCAAGATCCAGGACAGGCACCAAAACTACACAGAGAAACCTTGTCTCAAAAAACCAAAGGGGGGGGGGGAAACAAATGAAAAAAGTGGTAGCTCGGCGGCAGAATGTGGTATGAGAGAACATGCTTAAGGTGTGTCTAGTGTATACATGCAGTGTGTGCCCTGTGAATGAATGCATCTTGCATGTCCTGTGAATCTCATGTGTGCAAATTCGGTGTGTCTTGTGTGATACACACACACACACACACACACACACATACACACACACACTCCAATCCTGCAGAGCACTGCCCTTCTCTGCTCTCCTGGTCCTCTCCCTGGGATGCCCTTTTCTCACCCTACCCCCAGAGCCTTGAAGATGTCCTCAGGCTGTCCCCTACAATCACACTTTGGCAGGAGAGGTGACCTGAGAAGGTGTTTAGTTCCCAGAATGATGCTAAGGTTACATTCCTCTAGGGAACCTGCCCACAGTCTCAGCAATGCCCCAGCCCCTTCCCCTGGGGCCTGCCAGTTACCGATGGCCACAAACGCATCCCTGACGTCCCCAGACATCTCCTTCTTGATGACGTGCTCTATGTCATAGTTGGTCATCTTGATGAACTCCTGGAAGACTGGCCAAGAGAAGTGAGGGAGAGGTGAACACCAGCTGGGCAGGGTCACCTGACCTACCTACCCCATGAATGCTCACACTACGGTCACAGTGTAAGCTGTGCACTGGGTAAGGCTGGGGTGACAGGCAGGTTCTGGCCCCAGGGCTGTCCTAAGGCTTGGAGCCAACTAGGTCACAGCAGCACCTGCAGGTCTGGCCAATAGCTCCAGGGCTTGGCAAGGTCTGTTATCGCAGGCTGATATGCAAAAGGAACTATACCTGGACCACCCAGGGTGGTCTTCCTCTCTGGGTTCCCTCTTATTCCCCGACACGCTTACTATATAATAATCAAAATGGCACCCAAGCGGCTCTGCGTGCCCTGCACAGGCCGACTGCTTTATGTTTATTGTAGGCTTGGTATCCTAGCAACCATGTGAGGTACAACTAAAACCCCAATTCTTAGATAAGGGGATCCAGGAACAGAGGCTCAGTCATCTGCTCAGCCACACGGCTGATAAGTGGGGGATGGGAGTCAAGGCGACGGAGCATCAGGCTCCCAGTATCTGGGTGTTGAAAAGGACTGAGCAGACACATGCGAGGCAGCGAGAGTCTCAGCGACAGGGGACTTCAGGGTTGCCACTGCACACAGCTGTTGTGGCCTGTCCTGGGCCAGCCCCACCCCCCCTCTGCCTTGTCCCTGGCAAGCATCACCAACGGACCATGACAGCACACCTCAGAATCCTTCACACTGCCTGTTTCTGAGGGGAAAGGGGCTGCTCCTTCCTTATCCTAGGTGTTCCGCTTGCTTCTGTAAGGTGGGGAAGGGAGTTGGCTGAGGGCAGCCTCGGGCTCTGGAGAGGGCTGGCAGGTTCAGGTCAGATTTGGGGCTCCCACTGCCACACTGGAAGGGGTGGGGGTTCTGCAGGTAGGCTCACCTCTGCGGAGGTGAGGGTAGCTACGGGTGCACAGGACCGTCATGAAGCGAGTCTCCAAGGATGTTTTGTCTCCGCTGGGGGTGTCTGCTATTTCCTGCAGAGCCCAGTTGGGGCAAGGGTTAACATGAGAAAACCGTGGTTAGTCTGACTGTCTCTGCCCAGGCTCAAAGCAGGCAGGGTGGGGTTAGACCCGCTATCCAAGGGGCTTGAGGTTGGTCCCTTCTCTTCTCAACTCTGGAGCATAGTGGTCATTCCATCTCCCTTTGAAGTCCTCAGGACCCAGAGATGGGACTGGAGCTGGGTATAGGGACTTGGTACTTCTCCCCAGTCACCAGATAATCCCTCTGGGGAGCATGGACATGTGTGTGAAGGAGCAAAAATGTCCTAGCCAGATTCCCTCAGTTGGGGTCAAGGGCAAATACATTTTATTCTACCATCTAAAAGTTTCCACAGTTCCCTAGCTAGTTATGATCCTATTTGGATTCTCTTTTAAAAACCCACTTTGGGGTTAAAAAAGAAAATGATAATGAATCGATTTAAAGGCAACAACCATAGCTGGTAATTATACGGCATAAATCAAGCCAGAGATGAATGTCCAAAGCATGGGAAACACTTGCTTTGCTCCTGCCTCCTGTTTTTTTTGAGACAGGATCTCATGTAGTCCAGGCTAGCCTCAGACTCTCTAAGAAGCTGAGGATGACTTTAAACTCCTGATCCTCCTGCCTCTACTTGCCACGTGTTCGGATTATAATCCTGCACTATCACACCGGGCCCTTTTAAAACGGAGTCCTTGAAAGGCCCGGAAGGGGAGAGAGAGAAGCTGTGAGGGAAAGGCCCCACTGTTGCCCAATCCTGCCCCACTCAGCCCAGCCCAAGCACAGCAGGACTTGACTCAGAGGCTGGTACCTCCCCGTGAAGAACAGAACACTCACCAAGATCTCAGCGGCAACCTGAGAGCGGGGAGGAGAGAGAGGAGGGAGAGAGGGGAGGCAAGAGTCAGAGGCCAAAGTGAGCGGCCGGAGGACCCTGGAGCCCCAAGGCCTGGCTCAGAGTGGCAGAGGTCCCAAGAGACTCCAGGGTCACAGTGAAGGACTGTGGGGGACACATCCTTTCTCTAATCTCTGGGCTAGAACTCAGAGCGGAAGACTACCAGACTGTCACCTTAGCCCCTCAGGTCCCAGACAGAAAGGCAGGGCAGCTGAGGTCCGGGAGTCACAGGCTCGTGGCATAGGTGGGCACTACACCTTAGGAGCATTCTCCTTAAGAAGAATAGCCTATGGAGGGAACGCTGTGACTAGGACTTTTGTGAGCCAGGATGCTCTGACCCAGGAAGTCTGGGAATAAATGCAGCTGGTCTCCATGTACCTGAACTGTCACCTTAGTCCCTTCCCCAGCATCCTGCCAGCCTTCGTATTCTCCTGCATAGACCCAGAGCCCAGGCTTTATTTATTTAGCTTTGAGACGGGGTCTCACTATGTAGCCCTGGCTGGCCTGGAACCCACTATGTAGACCAGGCTGGACTGGATCTCATAGAAATCCGCCTGCCTCTGCTTCCTGAGTGCTGGGATTGCAGGTATGCACCACTACACCTGGCTTCTTTTCTTCTCTTTGGAGACAAGGGCTCACCAAATAGCAGCCCAGGTAGGCCTTTTAACTGCACAGCCATCCTCCTGCCTCCACCTTCTGAGTTACGGGATTACAGATGATACCATGTTCAAGGTCCCATGAAGCTTTAAAAAAAAAATTAAGGTGGCTGGAAAGGAGGTTCAGTGGATAAGAGCAGGTCCTGCTCTAGCAAAGGACTTGAATTTGCTTCTCAGCACCCATGGTAGATGGTTCACAATTGTCCATAACCTCAGCTCCAGGGGAGGAGCTGCCCTCTTCTGGCCTCTGCAGGCACTGCACTTATGTGCACATAGAAACACATACACACATCCCCCCCCCCTTTTTTTTTTAAAGGTTAAGACTGGGAAAGGGGAGAAGCTCAGATAGACTAAGGCCCTGGGTTTGAACCCCAGCACCATAAAAACAAGACTTCTCTGTATGATTTACACAAGTCCGTATGGGCATATGCATTGTATATACTAGTGCTTCTTTTATCTAGATGAAAAATAATACTCATATTCACCAGGCAGTACATGCATGGACAATGTGGCTCTCGATCAGGCCAGAGTTAGGTGGCTCCTTTACCCACCCCGGAATTTTACAATCATATTCCCCATTATAGAAATATTTTATTTCACTTAGATTTAAATGTCAAGCCACGATGATCCCGTTTAGAAGGCTTATGGGCTACTCGGGGTTTTTGATACTTTCAATCACGTAGCTGAATCATGGGGGAGAATTGTGCCGGGTGAAGTAAGCCAGCTACAAGCAGACAAGCCCCTACCGTGGTGCTTGCAGAGGGGTCAAGTCCAGAGACGGAAAGCAGGCTGCTGTGGGTTAGAGGGAGAAGAAGTGAGGAGCCACTGGCCCATGGGCTCAGAGAGTCAGTTTGGTTAAGAGTTCTAGGGGGCGGGGTAACAGCAAATGGCTGTGCAATGTGAACGGATTGGATGCCACCGAAGAACGATTAACTCGGGCCGGACCCCAGGCGGCTCAGCTGGCCAAAGCTCTTGCCACGAAAACCTGCTGAGTGATCCCGGGAACTCATGCAGTGGTGCACATCTGTAATCCCAGCACTCTCACAGGGAGAGCTGGTGAAAGCTTGCAGGGCCATTAGCAGTGCTGAGACAGGAGAGACTCTGCCTGGATAAGGTGGAAGGAGAGAACTGACCCCCGTACCTGCCCTCTGACCCCCATGTATCACTCCACTCCCCCTTCTTTCTCTCAATAGGGCCTTTGATAGTCCTGGAACTCACTATGCAAAAACAGGTTGGCGTTGAACTTGCATGGAGCCTCCTGCCTGTGCTGGGATTATGGGGAAGGTTTATTCTGCCTGCTTATTTTAACTACCAGAGCAGGAAACTATTTATATATACAAAACAAAGCCCAATTTGAATAGCTATATTAATATTAAGTGATGACTACGGGAGGGGGGGGCAGGAGTAAGATTTTTTTTCCTTTAGCTCTATTTTTTAAATTTTTTTGAAAGCAGTCAATTTACTTATGAGACAAAAACTTGCTAGTTGTCAGGAAACAGATTGCACCAGGATCTGCTCCTTATTCATGGAGAAGCTACTGAGCCTCTGTCAGGGCTATGGTTCAAAGGGTCCCCTCCACTGCCTCCACCCTGGTTCTCTCTCTCCCCTTCCCTTGCAAAGCAGTTGCTGGGCCAGGACCACCACTGACCCATGAACATCCATGGCAGACCAGGCACCAGGCACCAGCATTACCTAGAGATAATGTCAGGGTACAGGGTGGATGCTGGTGAAACCTAAGATGATCAAAAGCCTCCTGCTACACCCAGAGGCTGCTCATGAATACTAAATAAACACCTGCTGGGTGTGTGTGTGTGTGTGTGTGTGTGTGTGTGTGTAAAATGTGGGCTCAGCTCAGTAAACGACGGTGGGGTTACCCCATGGCTAGCTCCTATGAACGTCTGTACTTAAATATAACTGAGAACACCCTGTTGGCTGGGACCCTGGAGCTTCTGACATTGTATTTCAGAAAAGAATTGGGCAACTGGACCACAGTTTCTTGAGCAAGGAGCTGAGTATTGGAGATAAGGGTCCTGGGTCCTGGAGGGTATTGTGTAAGCCAGACTGGAGATAATTGGACCTCAGTGCCAATCAAACTGAAGCCATTCAGAAACTGTCCCCGTGGGCAGGTTAAGGCTGCTTTCCTCCCCAGGAAAAACAACACGGCGCACAGAAGGGCATTAAAGGCCTCACCTTCCAAACTGTAAGGAGGGTTTGGGGGCTGTTGGGGTTTTGTGTTGTTCTTTTGGAGACAGGGCCTCGGGGAGCTGAGGCTGGGCTCCTGCTCTTCCTGCCTCAGCCTCCACACCCGCTAGTACAGGGGTGTGCCTGACTTTGCAATCTCAGTTCCATCAGGCTACCCTAGGGATGGCTGAGCTGCCACTGGTGTCTCAGCCCCTGTCTGCTGGTGAAGCTGGGACTCTGGGTTTGTTAACGCTCCTTCTAGTGACCAGCTGTAACCCCAGGATGCTAGCGTTACAGTGGGTGGCATCTATGCCCATCTCCAGCATGGGGCAGCTCTTGCAGCAGGTGGGGATGGAACAGATGGAGACCTGGCTCGGGTCCACGGGGACAGTAGTGAGGACCTCAGTGGGGGCCGCATAGCCATTAGTGCTCCTCAGGGGAAATGGCACGGGGTTGCCCAGCCTCAGCTTCAGAGAAGCCTGAGAAGCAGAGCATCCAGGACTCTAGTGACCCCTCCTCTGCCGCTATTCGGCGGTATCCAGTCATCACTGGACACAGGGTACCAGGGATCCATCATCAGTCAGTGGCAGCAGCACCAGCCTTCAGGAGCTTGCTACACTTTGCCAAGTCACTTGTATTCACTTTGGTCTCATTTTTCAGATAGGAAACCCAGACATTTGGTTCTCAGGCCTCTTGCCCAGCAAGATTCCAAACCCATTCCTTCTGGGTCAGCTCTCCCTGGGCCAGATTTTGCTTGTGTGATTTGAGAAATCAGTCACCCTTTTGGACTTGCATTTCCCACTGCAGGCTGAGAGGTTTGAACCTGGGTGACCTATGATTGCCTTACAGTTCTGAGGGGCCCACTACCCACGTGGGAAGTGCCAGGAAGCAAGCTCCACCCTCCCAAGTCCACTCTGAAAACCCTCAAGCATTTGCTTTGCTTCTACAAGTGGAGGTAAAGGGGTCTGAACTAAGCATCTGTCAGTTGAACCAGCCATGTCCCAGCCAGGAGCCTGCCCCATCTACAGCCATTGCCTGGCAGGGACCCGCCAGCTGTCCAGTAGAGATGGGCGGGAGTCTCACCTGAGCATCTTCCCGGGCCTGGTCTCGGTTTTCTCCTCCTTCCTCGCGATTCCCCTGTCACACACAGGACCATCGAGAAGTCAGTCCCCAGACATTCCCCACTTGCATCCTTCGGTCACCTGTGGGTCTTGCTCAGTCACCTCCCGGCACCCCTTTTCATCTTTTGCAATACTGAAACAATTCCAGGGTAGGCCACGTGGTCTGGGCCCTGGGTTACAGGATCACAGGACAGAGTCACCCATGTGGCTTTGATACACAAAAGAGACCCAAAAAAGTCACAATACCAACCATCAAAAAGGAATTTTCACAGGGTGGTAGTAGCGCACGCCTTTAATCCCAACACTTGGGAGGCAGAGGCAGGTGCATCTCTGTGAGTTCTAGGCTAACCTGGTCTACAGACTGAGTTCCAGAACAGCCACGCTACACAGAGAAACACTGTCTTGAAAAACAAAACGACAAAAAAGAGGAACGCAGAGATCTGAGGGGGAACCCCGAGGAGGCAAGGGGGTGAGTGGCGGGGCATGTTCTCTCGTAGTCTGTGCATGAATGGACCTCAGAACCATGAATTCACTCACCGTGGCCAGAGAAATGAGGATCCTTCTGAAGTGGCCAGATGTGTCTGAGCTCAGGGCGTCCTCCAGGGACTTGTGATAATCTGAGATAGGAAGAAAGGTGTGAGCAGCTGCAGGCGGGAGGCTTGGAGAGCGAGAGTCACACCCGAGCCAGGGCCACGTCGGCAGGGGAGGTGGGGATGAAGGGGTGTGCAGTCAGTTCCTGAGGGCCTCCAGCTATCTTCCTGCTGATTTCAGGAGGCAGCTGGTACTGGCACCTGCCCCTCTACACTCCTGTACCAGCTCCCCACCTCTCCTATTCATTATCCATTCATTTTGGTGCATTGTTAGGAATTGAACCCAAGACCTTGTGCATGCTAGGCAAGGGATCTAGAGCTATACCCCGAGCCCTCAACACCTTCCAGTGGAACCTCTCTGCCTTCCTTTACTCTCTACCATCCCTCCTACCCAGCAGCCACCGAACCCCAAAGTATATCTGGGACCTTCGTGCCTCCTGTCCCCTACTTAAAATGACTGTTTACTCAAAGCCCTGCAGAAAGAAAGCTGTTCGAGATCTGACCAGAAGTCACAGTGTTTCAGAATGACAATCCAGGGCCACTTGACTAAAGCTCAAGGATTTCCAGACTATAGCAGTGCAGGGTACAATGAGGCGGGGGGGGGGGGGGGGGGGGGGAGGAGACCCTTCTGAGGGCGGGTCTCTGTGCAACTGTTCAGGCCCCATTCCCACGAAGCCACCCTCCCCGTCCCCAGCAGGCCAAACGCTCTCTCTGCTCCCCAAATTCTATGCAAATTGTCTTCTACCACCAGGACTGTTCTCGTGGGGGCAGCCGACTCTCCCTAGGTGCCGAGCTGGGTACACTAAGAGGTTTGTTAAAGCCCCAGAGAAGGCCCGGGGAGAGAGCCCAGCCAGTAAAGGGCTTGCCACAGGAACACGAGGACCTGAGCTGGATCCTCAGACCCACGCGGCAAAAACAAACCAAACAGGCATGGCCGTGCCTACTTGTCATCCTACAGCTGGTGAGGGAAGAATGGAAGATCACGGGGGCTTCTCGGCCATCAGCCTTGCCAAACTGGCAACCCTTAGACCAGGAAGAGATCCTGTCTCAAAAAGTAAGGTGAGGCCAATGAAGTCAGTCCCCAAACATTCCCCATATGCACCCTTCAGTCACCTGTGGGTCTTGCTCAGTCACCTCCCAGTAACAGGTAAGGGTGCTCGCTGCCAAGCCTGATGACCCGAGTTCAATACTTGCAACCCACACAGTAGAAAGAGAGAACTGACCCCACAAGTTGTCCTTTGACCTACACATGCACGTGCGCTCTCTCTCTCTCTCTCTCTCTCTCTCTCTCTCTCTCTCTCTCTCTTTCTTTCTCTCTCTCTTGCACATGCACGCACAAATTATAAAACTAAGGTGGATGGTACCTGAGATTGAACCCTGGTCTCCATCCACACATCACAGCGTCATGGAGGCGGTAGGTCAGAGCTGTGAGCTGATATCGACAGGTGGGGGACCCCCTGTTCCCCAGCAGCACTGGGCCAGCTGCCCCCCCCCCACTCACCCTCCTTGTAGGCCTCGTTGATGGCCCGGATTTCAGCATTGGTCCGAGTAGCCAGGATTTCGATGAGAGCCTTCTCATCCGTGCCAGCTCCCTAGGAAGTCCATACAAAGGACATGTCCACTGCGGTTCTGACCCTGACTACCAGCACCTCCCCATCTCACCCTCTAGTTCTTGCCACCGTACCTCCATAGCTTTCTTCAGCTGCTTAGCATCATAATGGGCTGGCGGCATCATGAGCCCCAGGATCAGCCTTGCCAGGTCTCCGGAGATCTCGGACTTCAGGTCAGCCATTAAATCCTGCAAGGACAGACCCAAGGTCACACCGGTCTCAGATCCACACAGAATTGCCACCATCTTTGACTGTGTCCCCACCAAGACATCTCACACACATCACCACTCACTGGTCACAAAGAATTGGGAACAGAGTGACCCAAGACTAGAACATTCCAAGATGCCACAACCAGGTGGGAGGTCTCACTACCACGAAGCCCTCTGGTACCTAACTGTCCAGAGCTGGCGGTGACAGGCTGAGCTTCACTAGGGAGGTGTAACGATGTGAGACCCAGACTAGGGAGGAAGGACCCTTACCCGGCCAAAGTGAGATTTGAAGGTCTGCCGGATCTGCTGCCGCTGGGCGTTGCTACGGTGTGTGACGATGTCGATGATGGTGGCTTCGTCAGTTCCTGGGTCACCAAAGCCACATGCCTCAGAGGAGGTTCTGTGGCTCAGCTTCCCCAACATCCCCCCACTGATAGTTCCCATCAATCTTTGTCAGGGTAAAGGCCTGGGTTGGTGGCCATATGCTCCTGGCCCCTGTGGGCTCCTGGCCCCTGTGGCCTCCTGGCCCCATGCTCCTTGCTTTCTTCTGACATGCCACCGGATGAGATTAAACTATAACCAGGAGGGGTGGCGGGCACTGCGTGATGAGCACCTGGTTAGCAGTTGGGGTGGCAAGCCATGGGTTAAGTATCAGAGCCTCTGAGTTCTAACCTTGGCTCTGGCAATGGCTGCCTACCTTGGGGAGGTCCCTTTCTCTTTCTGGGACTCATTTTCCACATCTCTAACATGAATAGGGTCGAGTAACCACTAAGGGACCCTTCCAACCCTGTGATCTCAGCACAATTAGTGACTGTATTTCCTTGGTCTTCAACTCCCTGACAGTGGCTCCCAGGGAGTCCCTCTCAGCATAGCAGGTTGGCTGAAGGCATTGGGGTACCGCCTCCTGCCTGTCACATGAGCGCCACCAACCTCGGGTCTGACACAGGGATCTAATTTTCAGAGCATTTCCCCCGCCCTTCCCCTGTAGTCTCCCAGTCATTGAGATGCTCGGTAGGCATTACTCTCATGAGAAGAATTCACTGAGACCCAGGAGGTGCAAGACCCCTTGGGAGTTGCTGCTGGGCATATGAGAGGAGGAAAGACAACAGAAACCAACCCCCCATTCTCCTTCCCAGCAAGGGCTTTCCAAGCACAGGCCCAGCTGGGAGCAGGCTGCTGACCAGTCATGCCGTGGCTTTTCCCACAGTCAGCCAATGCCGCCTGGAGGAGCCAACAATTGGGGTGCTGTCACCCCAGCACTGGGGCTCTGGGTTCTTAGGTCAATGGACCTCATTTTACACACTGGGAAAGTGAGACCCAGAGCTGTTTAGGGACTTATCCACAGTCCTACGGAGTCAACACCTGAAGCTTGAGTATGTTCCTCTACACCAAGCTCCTGCTCAGAAGCTGGGGGTCAGACACTCAGGTGTCCAGGAAAGACTCCAATGAAGTTCATTCCAAACCCTCTCCTATCTTTCCTTCCACTGAGGTGGAGGGAGCCCCCACAGACTCCTCCTCATCCTGCAGAGCCTGGCTGGAGGCTTCATCCCTCCCCTTGTCTAGTCCCTTGCTGCCGAACCCACCGGACCACTGCCTAGGGGTCTTCTCTGGTCCTTGTCACCTTACCGATTCCCTTCATGGCTTTCCGCAGGGCCTTGGCGTCAGCATCGGGGTTGAAATCATTGGCTGCACACACGGTACCCCTCAGCTGTGAGAAGAGGGATGGGGTTCAGCACGTGTGTGGAGGCCCCTGGAGAACCAGGTCCAGAGAGGAGCATGCAGAGTGGCAGAGGCCGTCCAGGCTGAGTCCCAAGCCAAGCAGCCTTGGGGGAGGAGGCACAGCACACAAAGCCACTCAGGGCTGAGAGAGCAGAGTCTCAGGCCTGGGGGCAGCTGAGTGCTGGAGAGGGAAGGGGCAGCTCCTGAAATTGGACGTGGTTTAGTCCCAGCTCCGGAGACTGAAGTGCCCTCCCCCCCACCACGCCCCGTCAGCATCCCACCCACCCTGCCCCGGTGCCCTGATGCCAAGTGTAGCCACGGCTCCTTGGTAAGGAGGCCAAAAGACTCAGAAGCAGAATAGTTTGCAAAATTTAGTCATTACTCAATAACATTCCTGTATTTGCTATGTCTTAATATTTCTTTTTTTATTTTGCTTCAGTGGTTTTTGGGTTTTACTGTTTTTTTTTTTTTTTTATTTTGTATAGAGACAGTGTCTCACTATGTAGCTTTGCCTGGTCTAGAACTCCCTAAAGAGTCCAGGATGGCCTCAAACTCAGAGAGCTGCCTGCCTCTGCCTCTCTGAATGCTGGAATTAGAGTAGGCACCATCATACCTGATCTTTGCTTAAGCAGCTTTATTTAGAATAATTCGGGGGCGGGGTGCTTGACATACCAAGCAACATCTCAGCCCGGACAGATCCATCTTCAAGTACGTGTAAATAGACCAGGCTGGTCTTGAACTTACAGAGATCTGTCTCTGCCTTGTGAGTACTGGGTTTAAAGGCATGTACTACCATGCCTAAACTTTTGTATATACTTTTTATATCCTCTTGTGTGCTAACAAGTGCCTGACACGTAACAGACACTTAAAAAAATACTTAACAAATTAATAAATAGGTGAAAAAATATTTTTCAATGGTAGCAATGAAACGGAAAGCCCCGTGCTTGCTAGGCAAACACTCCTGAGCTCTATCCCCAGTTTTGAGATAAAAATAATTTTATACTTTATATATACTATCACAAACTAGAAAGGATGTATCCCATGTCATTAACAGATGGTCACCCATAAAAATAAATGTAATGCCCGCCCCCACTCAGGTTAAAGGTCACCAAAGTTAAGACGCTATTGATTGCCAAGACCACGGGACTTGAGGCCGGCTCCCTCGGCTCTCTGTGTAAAAGGGCAGCCACCCTGCACAGCACCAGTGTGGCACCAAGCCGATTTCTCTTTACTTATCAGAGAGGCTGGTGGAACTGAAAAGGAGTAGGCTCTCTTTGAGAGGCTGGGTGTTACTTAATGCCCTGGGAGGCACCTCCGTCTGCCAGGCCAAGCTCCTTCCTTGTATGACCTGAGATCTCCTGCAGTGCTAGTGTTTGCCTTCAAATTTAGGGGAGAGCAGAACATCAGAGGTCAAGAGCCTTTAGGCCACCAGGACTGCTGTGTATAAGGCCCTCCTTTGAAAGGTTCAGGCATAGAGGCCACGAGGAGGGTGAGGACCCGACAGTGTCTAGATTGGTTTGCCAGGAGCCTCTGTGAAATCGTTCATCCTGTCCTTCGTGGACCCCCAGGTGTGAGGGTGCTCAGGAGTACATCCCTGACCCCTGTAGGAATATACCCAGGAGCACCCTCTCCTCTCCTGGGGGCAGCCGAGTATGCAAAGCCCAGCTGCCAGGTCCAGGATGCAGAGGCCCCCAAGGAACCAACCTAGTCAGTCTCACTAGAGGAAGCCCTGTTAGTAGAGAGCAGGCAGAACACTTCCCCGGGCTGTTAGAACCAAGGCAAGGACCTGGAAGCTTCAGAAGAAAGACGCCTCAGCTCAGGTTGGCCACCAGGGGGCAGCCGAGGGCCAACCAGCTCAGCGGGAAAGGTGCAAGCAGAAGAGGAAGCCAGTGATGAAGAGGCCAAGCAGGAGGTGGGGAGGGTCTGACCTCGACTCGGGCCACTGCACTAAGTTCCCACATCTGATAGGCCACCTGTGCTGCCTCCGGGAAGAACTGGCCAGCCGCACTGGAATGGAGGGGTTCGGGAGAGGATGGGAGGGAATGTCATCAGGGGCGACACCCCACGCTCCTAGCACACTCTTCTGCCCAGCACGTACACACAGTCAACACACACACAAGTACAACCAACACAGGGTGAGACACTCACACACATTCTAACCCAAGGACACACAGGAACTCTTGGTGAAACCACAAATGTACACCCCAACACATGTATCCTAACACACACACACACACACACACACACACACACACACACACACACACCCCTCTAACACCAACGCAGACCTCTCTCGCTTTATTTCTTCTCCAGCCTGAGCTCATCAGAGGAGCCTCTAGTCCAGAGATTCT